ATAAATATTATGTCCGAGTTGTATCCTAACCGTTTGCATGCCTCCTACAGTCATATAATTAATCTTCAGGTTACATAATATTTGGGGGTATCACTCTTCTTCATTCAAGGAAACTCCTTTCTGAACAGGCCTTTACTCTTCTTCCTCCTCATTCCTTTAAGTGGGGTTCCAATGTGTTACAACGAAATACGCTAAGCCTGGGAAAATATTGTTTATATAGTAAAAGATAGTTCATTAGTACGTTTGTTATATTTAAAAAACTATGATTAGATTTCTTGATCATCAAAATTAACATCAAATCCATTAACTTAAGAATGAAAACATATATTCGGATATTTCTCATATCGATCCAGATATTTAACTATATATCTTTATCCCTAACTATGTCTTGTAGGATATAGATATTTAGTTACCATGTATGTATTTATTCTTACTGATAAAGATCTATCTTCAGACATGGATATTTCTTTGCGCCAATAACTGGTTGTGTAATGTGGGAGTGACACTTGATTCTTGGCAAGGGACAAGTAGTGGTGATCGATAGTCTTGTGTAAGGGGCATTACTACAAAAGCCTCTTGTAGAAATGGTTCCAACCGTTGCTTATAGGCCTTTTAGTAACGGTATAGACTGTTTATAATATATTAATAACGGTTAAAACCATTGCAAATAATCTGTTACTATTAAAGTCGTTGCAATTAGCTTATTGCAACGTTCTAAACCCGTTGCAAATATAACAACCGTTGCTATTAGATTAATTTTTATAAATTAATAATAATCCACGTCAGCAAATCCTAACCGTTCCTACAGTCTATTAACAACAAAAGACAACCGTTACTATAAGATTTAATATTTATTTAAAAAAATAAAATATCCACATCATTAAAATCCTAACCACCGAAGGTATATTAACAATAGAAAATCTTTGCTAGTGTATTAACAAATATTTTCACCAAAATATTACTGCTTATTCTCGCATCCACCTGTAGCAATGATATTCATCCATTTCTAATCATTTATTTCAATATATAATACCATTCAAATGAAACAGATAATTACTATCATAAATAAGAAATTAACTTAATCAATTAAAAAATAATGCATGTTTGATACAAGCTTTGTTAATAAATTCAATGAAGTGATAATCAACTATAAAACTTTGAGTTTAGACCATTTACAAGGTTCACAACTTCGCATCCTACAACTCTTAACTAAAATGCAAATCTAACAAATGAAAACATATTCAAAGGCCTATGATAGTGAAGCAATAAACCATGAATAATTACAATTTGAATGATAAAGATCATGACGAGCCCATTAATTATCAAGACGAGTTCTTCTTTCATCGAGTCTCTCCCAATGCTTTGTCTCCTTCCAACTGATTCTATCCAAAATATTCTCCCCTTCATCTATCACCTCGCAACCTTCATCCTGTCACAAACAATGGAGTTTAGAAATAGAAAAACAAAATATTTAAGCCTCTACAAATCAATATTTGGTTTACTGTAGTAGCCAGCAGCAAACATTTTAAAATATGAATCAATCTAAAATATGTCTCTTAGATCTTGATTAGAATTTTCCAAATCAAGACAAAATAAATTATATATTTGATAACTTGAAACTAACGAACAAACAAACCCTTCAATTGTGCAAACAATTACCACATACCTAGCCAACCTAACCAACAATTTATTCTAAAAGATTTTCAAGGCAATAAGCTTGTAAAAAGACGTAAACCATTGTGGATCTCCCAATCAAAACTTATAATTTCATGTAGCCTTCAAAATGTTTGTTGCTCGAGCTTTATCATCAAGCCTTTTTGTTACCCTTTCATTCTGTTACAATTGAAAGTATTGACGATTACAATGAGTGGTTTCTGGTTATGTACTTTAATTTCTGCTGCTTCTCTAGAAACATCAGCATTCTTATAATGTAGTTTTTGTAATGCTATTTCAAAGTCTATTTGGTTCCCCATCCTTGCTTGAACAATCTTTACACATTCATGGTGACATGGTTGTTGGTTTCCAGAATCTCTTCTCTGTGTACGCACACACCCTCAAGAAAACAAAGGAAGAAGAAACACAATTATTTCTAACTGCAACCACACCCAACACACTACTTTACTGTTATATATATAAAAGAAAACTGAATACAAGAGACGTGCAAACGTGCACACAAAAAAAACTGAAAGAAAACTGACTGACTGAAAATAACTAACTAACTAACCTATACAATAGATAAAGCTATCTTAACAAGATTAATTTCAATATTCACCCCCTTAATCTTGTTGCATCTTCTTCACATCCTTCAGTCCTATCTTCTCACGCAGCTCGACAAACCTCTGACGACCAAGTGGCTTTGTCAGAATATCGGCCAGTTGATCCTCAGTCTTCACATACTCCACTTCAATTTCTTCCTTTTGAACACAATCACGAATAAAATGATACTTGATATCAATGTGCTTGCTTCTGTCATGATGCACAGGGTTCTTCGTGAGAGCAATGGCTGATTTGTTGTCTACATTGAGGACAGCTTTGACAGGTTCACCTCCTTTTATTTCACTCAACAACCGCCCAAGCCAAATACCCTGACATGCTGCAGCTGTAGCGGCCACATATTCAGCTTCGCATGAGGAGAGTGCCATCACTCTCTGCTTCTGTGACAGCCAAGTGATCGGATTTCCACCAAGGAAATAAACGACTCCCGTTGTCTCCCGCTAGGTCACTGTCACTGCACCCAATCAAGCATTCGCTCGAATGCTTCTTCCTGACATAGCAACACCCAAAGTTGATAGTCCCTCGCACATACCTCAATATTTGCTTCACGGCAGTCATGTGAGTTGTTGTTGGCGCCTCCATGTAACGGATCATTACTCCAACCGAGTAGGCCAAGTCAGGTCTTGTATTAACCAAGTATCTCAAACTCCCTATGACACTTCTATACAAGAAAGCATTAACAGGAGGGCTGGTACTTACTTTGCTCATCTTCAGTCTCGGCTCCATGGGAACTTGACATGCATTGCACTCAGCCATCCCAAGCTTCTCCAATATATTCATTGCATACCCAGATTGACACAGGGTGATAGCATGTGAGTCTTGCTTCACTTCAATGCCCAAGTAGTAGCTCAATAGCCCAAGGTCACTCATGTCAAATAGTTTCTTCATCTGTTCCTAGAACATTACAATGTGTTCGACGTTTGACCCAATGATGATAAGGTCATCCACATATACACCAACCACTTGGACTGCTCCTCCTACTCCTTTCTTGTACACAGCATGTTCCAGGGGACACCTGATGAACCCGAGTGACTGTAGGCACTTATCAAGCTTCGAGTTCCATGCCCGGGGTGCTTGCTGCAGTCCATACAACGCCTTCTTCAACCTCAACACTTGTCCCTCGTGGCCTTTAGCTGTGAATCCCAAAGGCTGTGCTACATACACCTCTTCCTCTAGCTCTCCGTTCAGAAACACAGACTTTACGTCCATATGATGTACTTCCCAATTCTCCTGTGCTGCCAAGGCAATCAATAGCCGTACAGTTTCAAGCCGTGCAACTGGAGCAAATACCTCATTAAAATCTACTCCCTGTTTTTGTACATAACCCTTCGCCACGAGTCGAGCTTTGTGTTTTACTATCTCTCCTTCAGGATTTTTCTTCACCTTGTATACCCATTTCAAGCCAATAGCATGATGCCCTTTTGGTAATTCTGCATATTCCCATGTGTTATTCCTCTCAATTGCTGCTATTTCTTCCGCCATGGCCTGTTTCCAACTCTCATTGCCTGCTGCTTCTTCATAAGTTGCAGGTTCTTCTAAAGATAAGAAGCATAGCCCTGCTTCATCATCCATCTCAACTGTGTCATTGTACACATCTTGTAGAGAACGATACTTACGAGGCCTCTCCGAGCTTGTTGATTGTTCTCCAGTATCCTGTACATGATTATGTCCTGAGGGAGTGTGAGGCGTAGTCACACCTCCAGAAGATTGCTCAATTCCTTGTTCATCCAAATTATGTGCACATTCACCCTTCTCAAATTCGTAATGCACGGTGAATACATCACGTGAATGAACTCCTGAATCTCCTCCTCCTTGTATATTCTCCCAATTCCACTCCTTATCCTCTTCAAATATTGTGTCCCTGCTTACTCTCAACTTCTTTGAGTTAGGATCATAAACTCTGTAGGCTTTTGACCCTGGCTCATACCCCAGAAACACCATTGGTGTACTCCTGTCATCTAATTTCTTTGTGTGTGGTTTTGTGATTTTCACGTGCACCAAACTACCAAATACTCTAATGTGATGTACCTTGGGTTTATGGCCAGTCCACTTCTCATAAGGTGTTACTCCTTCAACACATTTTGTTGGAGCTCTATTGAGGATATACATTGCTGTCTTGACTGCTTCAGCCCAGAACTCAGATGGAACATGTTTGCTTTTTAATAAGCTCCGAGCCATTCCCACAACAGTTTGATTTCTTCGCTCGACGACACCATTTTGTTGAGGGGAATATGGTGCTGTGATGTATCTTTTGATGCCCAGTTGCTCACAATATTCATTGAATGCAACATTTGTAAACTCACCTCCCCTATCTGTCCGTAGAGCTCGGAGTTTTGAATTTGACTCCAGTTCTGCTCCTGCTTTTATCTTCTTGAAAGCAGCAAATGCCCCATCCTTGCTTCTCAAAATCTCAACCCACATGTATCTGCTATAGTCATCTACAATCAGCATGAAATACTTGTTTCCTCCTAGTGTCGTTGGAGAAATTGGACCACACAGGTCACAATGCACAAGTTGAAGTGGTTTTTCAGCCCGAAAGCTTGAGTTATGAGGAAACGGTGTGCGATGTTGTTTTCCTACCACACACCCATCACATACTTGCGTTACATGATCAATGACAGGCATTCCTATCACCATTCCCTTCTTGGTCATATTTCTTAACACCTGGAAATTTAAATGGCCATAACGAGCATGCCACAGCCATTCAACTTCAGTTAGTTTCCCCATTAAACACACTGAATGAGTTTTTTCAGATTCAAGACATACAATCTGTTTCTTGATCTTCTCACTTTTGCTAGTAACCTTCTAGATCTATCATACACCATTAGGCATCCATCTTCTATCACAGTCATGCATCCATTCTCATCCAATTGATCTAGACTTACAATATTGCTACGAAGCCTAGGTATGAAATAAACACTTGTAAAGAGTCGATGCTCACCATTTTGACACTGAAACATCACAGTGCCTTTTCCTTGAATGTCCACGACAGAGCCGTCCCCAAACTTGACTTTGCCAGTTATAGTCTCATCAAGTTCTGAAAACCACTTCTTGCAGCCTGTCATATGGTTGCTTGCTCCTGTGTCGAGAAACCAAACAGTGTTCTCATGCACCACCTCTTCTTCTCCATCAAGCTTTGGCTTCACTTTCTCCTCATATAGCATTACTCCCTCTGTTGCCAGCTGCGCATGATTCTCAATCTCACAAATTTCTGTCGCCAGGAGAGCTGGTTCCTCATCGTCCCCTTGCACCTCCGCCAAGTAAGCCCTTTCATCCTTCTTCTTAGATCGACATTACGAGGCAAAGTGCCCATAGTTTTGACAATTGTAGCACTTCACCTTGCTCTTGTCAAACTTTCTCTCACGATGATTGGACTCATTCCAGCGACCACCTTCACTGTGCCCGCGACCACGACCACGGCCACACCCACGGCCATGACCACGTCCACTACTAGTTCCTCGTCCTTTATATGAATTGGACGAGCTCTCTCCTTCTCCTTTCACTTGTTTCCCTTTCCACTTTGCACTCGTCAACAGGACATGTTCTTCCTCATTGTCACCATAGCCCCGCAATCGTTCATCATGGGTCTTGAGCGATCCGATGACCTCCTCAACTGCCATCGTGTTGAGATTGCCAAATTGTTCGATGGTGGATGCAATCTGAAGGAACTTGGGAGGGACTGCACGAAGAAGTTTTTTGACAACATAGGCCTCATCTATCTTGTCGCCCAATGCACGAATCTTATTGACAATGGTGGTTAGCTTTGCACCAAAATCATCTACCGTCTCCACTTCATGCATGCGAAGACCTTCAAACTCATTTCTCAGAGTTTGAATTTTTGCTTCCTTGACGCGCTCAGCGCCCATGTGCATTGTCTTCAACATCTCCCATGCTTCCTTGGCCGTCTCCTTCTCAGCCAACACGAGAAGTGTTTCCTCACTGATTGCTTGATAGATGGCTGCGAGAGCCATCTGATCTTTCCGTGTCTCTACCTCATCATTGAGGTCAGTGGGCTCAATGGCGTCCCATACGCCTTGTGCACGCATGTACACCTTCATATTGATCGCCCATGCTGAGTAGTTGCTCTTTGTGAGCAGCGGGTACTGAAGAGAGACTGTCCCTTCTCTTCCAGTTGTCTTCAGCGTCACTGTGTTGCCAGATCCGCTACTCGATGGTGTTGCGTCCGCCGGCATAATCTTTGGCATTCAATCCCAACAAGGCTCTGATACCAAATGTTGGTTTCCAGAATCTCTTCTCTGTGTACGCACACACCCTCAAGAAAACAGAGGAAGAAGAAACACAATTATTTCTAACTGCAACCACACCCAACACACTACTTTACTGTTATATATATAAAAGAAAACTGAATACAAGAGACATGCAAACGTGCACACAAAAAAAACTGAAAGAAAACTGACTGACTGAAAATAACTAACTAACTAACCTATACAATAGATAAAGCTATCTTAACAAGATTAATTTCAATAATGGTGTCAGTATTGTTCACGTTTAATTATTTAGACATAGAGCTTTATGCTGCGCATAGTAGAAATATGCATAAGGTTCTAATGCATACATACAAAAAGGCAAATGCACATATCTGAAGTCAAGAATGCACACAAACATCTCATGTATTAATGCAAAGGTCACTTCATGAGGACACCAACTTGAGACTCCACAAAATTTGTAATGATGAAGCAACACCTAGACCAAAATTTTTTTTTTTTTTTGACATTTCTCATCCATGTCTATTGACTAAAGAATGCAAAGTTTCTGATTTCTAGTTTGGCCTTACGAATTGAAAATTCAAAAACTTAATGGGATAGGCATATGGAATATATATCTGAAAATGTTTACATACTTGAGCACTTTATGTTAATTTGTGAAACTGTTGTATCTTTGACTATGTAGGTTATGAATAAAATTCTAAAAAAGGGATTAGAGATGGGCAAAAAGGTGGGATGGTGGGAATATAGAACATGAAGAAAGTTCTGAAGTTTTTCAAAAGTTCAAGATGACAACCAAAATATTTAATCCTAACTTTGATCTCTTGTTATGCAATTGGAATGAAAGAATTCAGGTCTTGATCCACTAGATCAAAATTATATTCATTTGCAGAATTTCTCTTACCAGCCATCTTGGAGACTCTGGAATGAGAATGTGGCCTGCAAGGAGTCTAAAGCACGGAAGGAGGCCTACATGACTAGAAACAACTTGTAAGTTTCTTCACATACAGTTCATATATATTTTTGTATTTGCTACAGTTCTTTTTATTGCATGATTATTCTACTATTTGAAAAATATGTCTATAAATATTTAAAAAAGCTTTACCAATGGCTGCTAGGATGCGTCAGTTAACAAATGTACTGACTATAAAAGCAGCTGAACCTCCAGCACAGATCAATAGCTGATTAGATGAGCAAACACATTTCTTAGCCAATTATGCCTATTAATTGGAATCTACTTGAAATCCAAAAGGAAAAAAGGCCTTCTACTAGCTACTGACCTGGTTCAAAGTAGTAAGCACTCCTCGTAGATTCTTAGGTGCAATCTCAACAATGAAGACCAACACATATGAATAGTAATCACTGTGAGGAACATTAACCAAACCTGTAAGTATCTTGTTAACAATGTAACTGTTTGTATTTGGGAGTTAATGTCATAGTGCAATTGTACTTGGAAAAGCAATACAACCGAAAGTGATATGTTAGTTTTTCAAAGATATATATTTATTCAAGGATTGTTCGACTTATACCATATAAGAGAGGACTCCAAGACCATAATCATTGGAGAGTCTCTCAAACTAAAGCATTAAAGCATCCAATTTATGATGACAGTATGAAAATCATAAGTAGAGAGCTTAACTGAGTAAGAACATATCCCAGCATAAGAAATCTACTAGGTGAGGTCACTAAACTTTGCAAAGTAAATAACAAGCCATCCCATAAAGCATAAAGTAGCTGATACTCTCATTGCCTGCTCCATATTTTCAAAACATAACTACGCATCATTACTAACTTTGTATGAAACATACACTTATCATTGTTAGCTTTAATGGTAGATTTCACTGTGTAGCTCAGGAGACAACAAGCTGACATGACAAATTCTGAATGAAGTTTTAATGCAAGTGAAACTGCAGGTAAACTCATATATTATTGGAACTTATGGGAAATATCTCCCCCTTGGCCCCTTAAGACAAAATCATTTGAGTTTTTACTCAAAAATAGTAAGGCAACTTTTATTTCTGCATCTCTTCAATTCCTTTTCAATTGCAATATGATGCCTATGCTTCCTATGAAAGCAATATTAAATGAAATTCCACACAATGTTACCTTGCAAACTCCAAACATCAGCAGGCCAAATTTGTCTGCAAACTACAACCACCTAATATAAATCCACGCTTTTCTCTTCAGCAACACATCAACTTTAGTTCCACAATGAAAACTCTTAAAACTATCCTCCTCTTTGCCTTCTTGCTTATTGCATCCCCTTTCATCGCCAATGCAAGCGACCTCGATATTATCACCGACTTCATTATCCCACAAAACCTAACACTCCCAATGAGGAAACTTCTTCACTTTCAGTGGCATGCGCATTCTTTTTTATGATAATGGTCATGTACCCGCTTCCTTCACTGCATATAAAGCCCCTGCTTTGAATTCCCTGCACTTTTGGGCCCAAGTGTTTCCTTTGCTGTCCTGTTTTTCCCTTCAGAAACTATAAACCCTCCCCATACTCACCTGAGGTTATTGAAATTAAACTTGATTTTGGATCAAGCTTAATTTTGGGTTTATGATGGAATTATTCTAAGTTTGACCAAACCCAAAATTAGGTCCAAATTCTAGAGGTTTTCTAGAAACACTCTAGAAGATTGATCACCTCCTTAAAGTGTTCTAGAGAAATCTTTAAGCTAAATATCTAGATAATAGTATAGAAACATCTAGATAATTTGTGATAAAAATATTTAGATATTATGTAAAAATTTCTAGAGATTAGAAAAATATCTAGGAACTATGGAGGTAATATTAGAAGAATCTAGATCCTTTGTAACATATCTTTGGGAGGCTATAAATACCTCCTCACCTCTCTCATTTGTAAGTAAGAAGAAAAAGTTGAACAAGTGAATAAAGCAAGTTCAAATAAAGAGTCTTCATCTTCATAAGTTCTCTACATTTCTCTAAAAGTCTTTCAAGTGTTCTCTAAGTGTTCTTCATATTCTTCTTCATACTTAGAGGTTTATTCTCTTGGTTTCTTTCGGGTTTCTCGAGGTATTACGGTCTTGGGCTAGTGCTAAGCACTATCGGTGTTATCTTTACATGGTATCAGAGCCATTCTAATCTTGTGCTCTTCAAGACCGGGGTTTAAAGAGAGTTCGGGTTTACTCTAAGTATGGAATCAATGGGTCGTGTCGTTGGATTGGGAATGGAGATCTTAAACCAATCTAACTACCGGTTATGGAAGTCATGTATGGAGTCATACTTGGTTAGTGAGGACTTATGGGATGTCGTCGGTGGTAGCAGCACAACACCACCAAGGGGAGATGCTGCAATAGCGGAAGCCACAAAGGAGTGGACACGGAAGAATGCCAAGGCGGAGTTTGCTTTGAAGAGGTCAATATCTTCAGGACTATTTGAGCATGTCTCAAGATGTACATCCGCAAGTGCTATTTGGCAGGCACTAGATCAATTGTTCAACAAGAAGAACGAGGCTCGTCTACAACTGTTAGAGAACGAGTTGGCGAATGCGAAGCAGGGGGAGTCTTCAATCTCAGAGTTTTTCATCAAGGTAAAAAATCTTTGCTCTGAGATTAATACTCTCAATCCGGAGGAGTCGATTTCGGAAGCACGGTTGAAGCGGTCTATTATTCGTGGTCTACGACCCGAATATACACCGTTTGTTACTTCAGTTCAAGGATGGGCTACACAACCTTCCTTGGAGGAGTTTGAAAATCTACTAGCTTCGCAAGAATCACTAGCCATGCAAATGGCGGGAGTTAAAGTCCATGATGACTCGGGGAGCGCTTTTGTAGCGGGGAGACAACAAAGCTTCAGAGCCAAACCCAAATATGGTAATGTGAAGAATAATGATGGACGAGAAGGATCTTCTACGGGAGACAAGAAGCGATTCAAGTGTTATCGGTGTGGAAAACTTGGGCATTTCAAAAAGGATTGTCGAGTCAAGCTGAAGGAAACAAATATGGCGGAATCAAAGGGTCATACTGAAGACGAAGAATGGGAAAATGTTTCACGATAGAGGCTGCTCAAAAATAGTAAGGCAACTTTTATTTCTGCATCTCTTCAATTCCTTTTCAATTGCAATATGATGCCTATGCTTCCTATGAAAGCAATATTAAATGAAATTCCACACAATGTTACCTTGCAAACTCCAAACATCAGCAGGCCAAATTTGTCTGCAAACTACAACCACCTAATATAAATCCACGCTTTTCTCTTCAGCAACACATCAACTTTAGTTCCACAATGAAAACTCTTAAAACTATCCTCCTCTTTGCCTTCTTGCTTATTGCATCCCCTTTCATCGCCAATGCAAGCGACCTCGATATTATCACCGACTTCATTATCCCACAAAACCTAACACTCCCAATGAGGAAACTTCTTCACTTTCAGTGGCATGCGCATTCTTTTTTATGATAATGGTCATGTACCCGCTTCCTTCACTGCATATAAAGCCCCTGCTTTGAATTCCCTGCACTTTTGGGCCCAAGTGTTTCCTTTGCTGTCCTGTTTTTCCCTTCAGAAACTATAAACCCTCCCCATACTCACCTGAGGTTATTGAAATTAAACTTGATTTTGGATCAAGCTTAATTTTGGGTTTATGATGGAATTATTCTAAGTTTGACCAAACCCAAAATTAGGTCCAAATTCTAGAGGTTTTCTAGAAACACTCTAGAAGGTTGATCACCTCCTTAAAGTGTTCTAGAGAAATCTTTAAGCTAAATATCTAGATAATAGTATAGAAACATCTAGATAATTTGTGATAAAAATATTTAGATATTATGTAAAAATTTCTAGAGATTAGAAAAATATCTAGGAACTATGGAGGTAATATTAGAAGAATCTAGATCCTTTGTAACATATCTTTGGGAGGCTATAAATACCTCCTCACCTCTCTCATTTGTAAGTAAGAAGAAAAAGTTGAACAAGTGAATAAAGCAAGTTCAAATAAAGAGTCT